CTGGGGGAGAGAGAGGAACTCTGGGAAGAAGAGAGGTGGAGAGATGCCAGTGAGAAAAGGAGGAAGTCAAGCGTACAGAATGAAAGAAAGGTAAAAGCCACGTAGCAGAATGTAAATTAATAAAATCAGTAAATTTAAGTTATAAGAGTCGCTGGGTGTTGGTAGCGCATGCCTTTAATGCCAGCACTCGGGAGGCAGAGGCAGGTGGATCTCTGTGAGTTTGAGGCCAGCCTGGTCTCCAGAGCAAGTGCCAGGGTAGGCTCCAAAGCTACACAGAGAAACCCTGTATCGAAAAACCAAAATAAAATAAAATAAAATAAAAAAGTTATAAGAATCAGTTAGGGCCAGGCTGTGGTAGTGCACACCTTTAATCCCAGCATTCAGGAGGCAGAGGCAGGCAGATCTCTGTGAGTTTGAGACCAGCCTGGCCTACAAGAGCTAGTTCCAGGACAGCCTCTAACGCCACAGAGAAACCCTGCCTCGAAACAGACTCCCCTCCCCCCCAAAAAGAAGAAGGAGCAAGCCTAAGCTAAAGGCCAAGCTTTCATAATTAACAATAAGTATTCATGTCATTATTGGGGGTTGGTGGTCCCAAAGGAAAGTTCAACAAGAAAGACTGGCTATAGTCAATCTAATTGCTATATTTTATAATTCCTTGTGTTGAATTTTCCATGTTTGAATTACCATGTGGCCTTACCTCCTTCCCAATCCCCTTTTTCTCAGTAAGTCCTTGCTATCCAACTCAAGATTCTAACTCATCATTTGACCTGGACTGGAGGTGTGCATCACCATACCCAACACCATGTATTTTCTCTCTCCTGATTGATTGGCTTTCAACTGAGCACTTATTGCTCATCATTTAATTTTAATTTAATTTTATCATCATTTAAATGCTCATATCATTTCCTGAGGAATACCTTCTTCAGTATTTCACTTTCACAATCCTAAAAATGCATGTTCATTTGTGTATTGTTATTATCTCCACTAGATAATAAATTACAAGAGGGCAGGGATTAAGCCAGAAGTACTTACTGTTATAGTTCCAGTGCCAATCATAGTTCATGACCTAATAAATATGTAACAGGTTGTAGTGGAATATTAAAAGGGCCATTGCACCTGGAATTTACTATGGAGGGATGGTCACTTAGGTCTTGACATAATCTATTGTGAATAATTAGTGATTGCCATTTGAGATTTATGGGGTTGCTCTTTCTTAGAAATTTCAAAACCTTAGCATAACCTGTCATAAGACATTTCTGGCATATCTGGAATTCCTAGAGTGACTGTGTTTGCTTAGTTAATGGCTCCTTAAGACAGATAAGATATTTTAGTATGAGGCTAAAAGGAGCTTCTGCACAGCTCCTACCCAGTCAGTCTGTGGAGACTGCTGCTTTTGCTAAGCCTAAATTAATCCTGCATTGTCTCTCTTTCTTCACCTGGACCATGAAACTCAGAATACTGACATTTGGCACCCAATGTGGTGGGTTGGGAGAAAAGAGGAGTCAGGATGCTCCAGGACTGGAGGTAAGGATCACTCACTGGTAAGTGAGACTATCCAGGATTTCAGCAAGGACATGGACATTTCCCCATCTCAAGAGTGGCAATATAGTTGTTAAAATGCTTCTAAAAAGAAAATGGAGTAAAAGTAAAAAGCAAAACAAACAAACAAAATAGCAATTCACTGAATTTTAGTATTGGTTAAGCATCATTGCTGTTGGTTTCAGGCAACTCCTCATGTTCAATTAAAATGATGATGTGGAAACAAATACTGAGAGCTATGAGATGAGCTCATCAAAGAGGAGAAACTATACCATTGATCTCTTTGTAAATTAGCTTCCAGTGCCTTGGAGCTGCTGCAGAGTGAGGAGCCAGAAAAAGCTTGGTCACAGGTACAGCAGGGAACTAAGGAGGAAACTCTGACTTGGAATTGTCAATCAGCAGAGAATGTTGTCTCAGATAAAAATGATGTATCGGAAGAAGACGAAAAGTGAGGAAGGTCAAGACATGAATCTACTCTGCTTTTAGATGAAACATATTTTTAAAAAGGAAAAACTGAGCTAATGAGCTGTAGAACTGCAAAGTTTGTAATACAAATAAAAAGGCTCCAGAAACAAAGAATGGAAAAAAAGGTTCTTCCCAGTAGAAAAATAAAGGAAATGATTGATCACTATTAAAGACAAATGGAGCCTGCTTATGAAGGAATTGAGGAATTGTTGCCTAAGGTCATGAGGACACTGCCTCAGGTGTTTCCAGTCACCACAAAGCAAATGCCTGCAAATAACAAATATTCCCAATGTCACATTCAGATTAGTTGGAGACCTACAGAAATGATGGATCTGGAGTGATTGTGATAAGTGGGGGCATATGGGATGCATTTACCCTATGTAAGACAGACTTTAAATAACTGATCTACTCAGAATTGAATAATTCCACAAGACTGGAAGGATTTACCGGCTGCTATACTAGAAGCTGGCCCTGAATTGCAAAGGCTTACTTGGTGGAGAGGGGAAGCAGCAGTCTTGGAACATCATAATCAGGCTAGAAGATCGAATACGCAGAAAGCAAACCTGGAATTCGTATGATTGTGTTTGCTTATATCATAGTTGCTTAAGACAACTCCTAGTTCAGATAAGGGATTTTGGTAACAGGGAATTGACTTTCTAAAAGGCCCTTTGTGCATCAATAAAAACAGCTTCTACTGAGTTGTCAGGCAGCCTATGGATACTGATTCCCCCTGCTGCTTTTGCTAAGCACAAATTCATTCTACAGTGTCTCTCTTTCTTCGACTGACCCTTGTAAATCAGAACACCGACAACAGGTCCTATTATATAAAAGTCATTGCACTTATACACCTACATTACTGTTTAGTCATGTGGCACCCTTATATGAGAAAAAAGTCCCCAACAATATGAAGTAGTTAAAGAAGTTCACAAGAGAATGTTACAAGTCATTGGTAAAGGAAGTTCAGAGACAGGCATGATTCCTGGTTTAAAATACTTAAACTTAAAAACTTTAAATCTTTCATAAATATCTACAGAAATTTATTTCTTCTTTGCCAACTAGTTTTTAATTGTATGTCAGTGAAGGGGGAAGTGGTTTGCTTCTGTATGTTTTGGTACATTGTAAATAATCTGATATTAAAAATAAATCTAGCATTATTGTTTATTTGTTCTATTCATGTGGGTTTCCTAATGTAAAACGAATTAACAATAAGTTGTAAGAAAAAAATTATTTTTTCTAGTGCAGGGATTCTCTATGTCTAGGTAATTTATTGTAACTTGTTAAGGTCTGCCTGTTTCTTGCCTGCGTATCGCCATGGTGAAACCAGTTTTCTAAGGGAGCTTTTTTTGTTACGATCTTAGATAAACCTCAGGATCATTTATTCTATGGTTTGTGGGGTGGTTAACAGTCTCATTCTTCCTGCAAATAAAGAACTAGACTGTTAGACTCAGATCTCTTCCAATTCTTTCTCTAAAATGCACACAACAAAATATCAGTTGAACAATTCCCCAGGGTTAAGACTTTCCATTCAGACTACTGTAGCATGGCTGCATCATTATTGTAATTAAAATTTTTTCATTTACTTTTATTTTATGTGTATGGGTATTTTTGCCTGCATGTATGTCTGCATACAATGCTCACAGAGGCCAAAAGAGGGCATCAGATCATCTGGGGCTAAAGGTCTAGATAGTTGTGAGTGGCAATGTGGTTACCGGGAATTTAACCCAATTCCCTTAACTGATCATGGCTCCAGCTCATGACTGTAAATTTTATTTAGTGAGGCTTGGCATATTAGAATACAGATCCTTTAGTTTCTGTGGATTGTTTGTTTGTAAATAGGGCCTCATTATGCACAGGCTGCTCTGGATCAGGTAGTATTCCTCTGGCCTCAGCCTCTCAAGTGTTGGGATTACAGGAGTCCGCCAACACTCTGGCATAAACGTTTTCATTCTTCAGTTCATCTTGCTTACATGATGCAGTTTTCCCGGCTCCCAGGTTCTTGAGTAGAAAGTAACTGGAGGATTTTGTTAATTGTTTTCAATTAAAAACCATTTTCTGAATACGTAGCTACATGCCAGGTATACAAGCACCAAAGACACAGAACACATGATTTTTGTTTTGTGCATTTAGAGTCTGAAGTTACAAGGGCTAGTTGGAGGAAAGTCACTGTGGTTAACCACGCTTAAAAGATCATATTACTACTCTTGTACTTTTAATATTTTCTACTAGGCAAGAACATAAACCTTAAAAAATAAGATGGGAAGGATAAAATTATTCTCAAGCAGCATTAGATGTCAGTGGCCATAGGCAAAAATTAGTATTCATGGAATGCAAAGCAGTTTGACCTTTTGGGTGCCTATTAAAATCCGGAAGGTCACTCAATACTTGTAAGGAGGGACTCAAGGTGAACTAAAACAGATAGTGCTGTAGCTACCATGTTCTGGGCGCAAGACACTTAAGGTACTTTAAAATGTGAGCTAGCTAAGATATATCGGAGCTGGGGGGGGGTGGCTAATATTCGGAAAATCGTTATTCCAACTAGCACCTTGCAGACTGCGAATTGCAGGTCTCTGAACTCGGATGAACCTCACCCGTCCGGAGACTTCCGTTTTTACCCACGGGAGTACAATCGCTTTATTTTAGGCAACCTCCTCCACTACAGCGCCAACAGCTGCAATCCTCTTTCCAGACCTTCCAATCGGCCCTCTGCCAGCCAGCGGCTGAGGCTGCTTTCCCCCGCGCCCGCGGAGACAGCCGACATCCCATTGGCTCAGCCTGGGGCATGCTCGGCTTCCGATTGGTTACAAAAAGGAGGCGGGAGGGAGGTGTGCCCTTACATCACACCGGCCCCTAGCAGCACAGGATTGTGGGAGGGACGGTGCGACTGGGATGAACGAAATACCCGGAACGACCTCTGCAGGCCAGGACGGTCGTCGCCCGGAGCCTATGTCTCCGCCCACCGGCCGGGTGGGCTCCGCCCTCACTCTGCCAGCGAGGCCATCAGGTGATCGCAGGCCGCCGTGGTCACGTGGATCGGGCGGGCGCGCCCGAGCTGGCCATGGCGGCCGCGGTGTCCGGTGTGGTGAGGCGGGTGGAAGAGCTCGGGGACCTGGCTCAGGCTCACATACAGCACCTTAGCGAAGCCGCGGGGGAAGACGGTGAGGGAGCGCCGCAGAGGGAGGCGGGCGGAGGGTGGGGCCCCCCGCGGTGCCGCCGCGCTCTCTGGCCGGAAGGCGCGGCCTGCGGTCCGAGGCGGGGTCCCTGCTTCTGGCCCTCTGAGGGCTGGCGCTTCCGAGCCGGTCCCCATTGGGCAGTCGCTGACCCTCTCCTCAGAAGTCATGCTGCCAATGCAGCGTTTTTAATAGTCCTTGAAATCCATTTTGTTTACATCCGACCAGATATGTAGTGTCGAATCTGCGCAAAGGGTAGACTCTGAATAAAAGTACACATGGAGGTTTTCTGAAAGCTCATACTGCCCACAAATGAACGATGCTTTCTTTGCATCCAGTACGCAGAGAGGCGTGTGTGACAGTTCACTTTCTTATTACTGCCTTGTAAATTTCCCCGTTTGTGTTCAATTCAAAATTCAACCGTAAATAAACGGTATTTCACACAGTTGCACCGGTGTAGTTTAAATGTGCTTTCCTCCACACCTTTTTAGTTCTTGCAAAGTCATATATATACTGAGAAGCGTCTGAGCTGTTTCAGTAGGAGAAAAAAAAAAAGTGGGTTGGGAAATACCTCAGAATCAGTTTGTTTTTTTTTTTTTTTTTTTTGCAATTTCTCAGTTACAATTGGTTGACAGTACTGTTTTTGAATGTTGAGCCTTTGTCGTACATGAGCTTTAAAATTCTTGTAACCAGACTCAGACAGACTTTCCCCAAGTGATTGAGTAGATGGTATATTTACAGAATCGGCTCTACAATTAAATGACCCACTTTAAATGAAGAACATTGCTGGACTGTTTCTTCTTAGGACAGTGTTCTTTAATGTCCCACCCACCATACTGAGACTGTCTTTTGGTTTGCTACAAGTGGAATATAGGGTTCAGTAGTGACTGTTACCTTGGTCTGTATCCAGGTTACTTTTAATTCTAGCTTTATTTGGGTCAGCCCAGAGAACCCGAATAATTTGTATTCATTTATTACTGAACACAACAGTCATTCATTTTCTTTGGAAAGAATTCTGTGATCCTATGTAGAAGAAACCTGGAAAGGAAAGTTCAGTGTTACATGGTCTTATTTGGAGGCTTTATACGTCTGAAATATTACTAAAATCACAGCCATAGCTGTCCACTTTATGAGCTACTGGTCATTATTGAAGTTAATCTTACTAGGGAATTACTAACAGGGCTTACTTAGGTTTAATTTAACAAGATTATATGTATTTGAATTAAACTTGGCCCTTTTTCTGTGCAACAAAAACAATACACATTGGAAATTTGTCCTTTAGCCTAACAGTTATGTATTTTGTCAGTATTGATAGGTTCTAATTTATTCAAACGATTACATAAGGCTAATTTTCATTCCACTGAAGAATGTTCTTTGTGTTTGTGGCAATTTTTTTGCATCTATTTTTCATTATTAACAGTGTGATATTGTCCTGTATGGAATTATACCATAAGAAGGAATTTTTCCAGAGATTATGTGAGTCACTTTTATCTTTTGCCTAGGTGGTTTACTTTAAATATGTCTAGCTAAAGAGAATGTATTTTTATAGACTTTTCCAAAATGATAGCTATGCCAGCACCACACCTTTCCTGTAGTAATAACATCTTTCTTCAGTAATAACTCAGTTCAGTAAAAGTCTTGACATTTACAATTATCTTGGAAATTAAGGGAAAAACATGAACAGCTTCTAAAGCATGTGGGGAAGTGCAAGTACTTCATACTGTTTAGGGTCACAGTAGAATCATGTTTTCTGAGTTGTATGGTTGGTACTTTTGGGCCAAGGGGAGATGGGAAGACTGCTAACTAGGCCAGATGAATCATGATCTCACAGCAATAAAAAATCCTCTAAAGCTACAGTTTAGTTTTTGTTTGTTTTTTAAACCTGGGAAAATTAAAGGTCATTATGTGACTGCCAGCTGACATACCCAATGGTATTTTATTCTAACACGGAACAGCTTATCTCTTTATGTAACTGCAGAGGGTGGATCGGATGAGACCACACCAACCACTACATTTTCTATCCATTGGCAGAAGGTTAGGAAAGATTCTGTATTTCAGAGAAGAGGCTTACAGATGTTAGTGTCTTGTACTGTGGTGCGCAAATATAACTTTTACTACATGAAGTGAATCATAAGGGAGGGCAGTATCTTTGGAACCCACAAAATCTGAAATCATAAGTAAAGAAAATGTGGGTGTAAAGGGGAGGTGGTGAAGGTTGGAAATTGTGATAAGGGAGTTTATAGGAAGTATTAGAATATTTGTTTGTTTTCTGTAGGTTTTTAAGGAGTGAGGTAATTTGTTCCATACCAAAGTTTTAAAGGAATAAGATAACCCTTTAAAGTGTAATTGTAGTTATAGCAGCTAGAAATACAAGTATGATAAAGGTAGAGTTGTTTACAGTCTGATTTTTTTACAAAATTTGGTTTGGACAATTATTCTTTTAGGGAACATTTGCAATTACATTTATAAAATTACATGCATTCAGTGGAAACTTTCTGCAAATTTGTAAATTTTGCATTATTTCAATCACAGTTGTAAATTTATTATTAAGTATTTGAGTGTTTCAACACTGTTAAAAATCTTACAAGAATTAACTGAGAGCTACATAGGGTGGCTCAGTAGGTAAAGCACTTGCTGTGCAATCGTGATAAACTGTTGTAAATTCGAAGTTGTCATAGTGGTTCACATGTAATTCCAATGCTCCCCAGGCGAGTCGACTAGCTAGACTAGAGAACCACAAGCTCCATGTTCAAGAGAGTGACCTTGCCTCAATATATAAGAGAAATGATTGAGGAAGACACCTGGATATTAGTCTTTGCCCTCCGCATGCACTCCCACATGTGTGACCACGTGTGAACACGAATACATATGCATATACACTACCCATACACACACAAGAAAGAAGTGAGCTGTACACTTAATTCCTTGATAAAGTCTCTTAAGAATGTAGATTGAATTTAAGAAATAGCAACAGTGCATCTAAAAAGGCTTTCACTCCTTGTCTTTGGAGAATAAATTTACTTTATTGGGACTGGGTTTTATATATGAGATACTTGATGTTTAAGACATTGCTGTCATGTCATAATATAGTTTCATTACATCATTTCTGTTATATAGCCTTTTTTTAAAAAAAATGATACTTTGAATTTATGCAAATGTTTTTATTACTTACAGATCACTTTTTAATTCGGGCCTCTGCAGCTCTAGAAAAGTTGAAACTCTTGTGTGGAGAAGAGAAAGAATGTTCAAATCCATCAAATCTTTTGGAACTATACACACAGGTACTAAAACAATTGTGAAGTCTGGCTTTATTGAGGGTGTGTGTGTGTGTGTGATACATATATTTATGTGGATGTGGGTGCTTGTGCACCTGTGTGTGTTTATGTGGAGAGCAGAGGTTGATGTTAGGTACTTTCTTCAGTCACTCTCCATCTTCATTTTTGAGACAAGGTCTCTTACTGAACCCATAGCTTATGGATTCAGCTGGGCCCACTGGCCAGCCAGTGAGTGCCAGAGATCCACCTGTCTTAGCCTCCCCAGTGCTGGGATTATGGTGCTCACTGCCAGGCCCAACTTCTTACACGGGTGCTGAGGATCTAAACTCAGGTCCTAATGCTTGCATCAAATACTTAATTGCCTAAGCCATCTTCCTCAGTCCCTGAACTCTGGGGTTTTGAGGATAGATTGATTATTTAAATTATTATTGATTATTGTTTGGTAGACTCCCAAAAGTTATATGTAATAATTACAAGTTATTCTTAAAGCATTGAATTTTGTTAAAAAGAAACTGAAGTTTGCAAAGGAGTAAGATTCATTAGGTGTATAAATAAAAATACTGCTATTAATATTGTTAATGATAACTAATCAGAATACTAGAAATTAAGTCCTTGTACATTTCAGAGAGTAGGGCCTAATTTTCTCCCCTGGAATTTACCTTTTCTGAGGATTGTTAACATGATTCCTGTGCTGTCATTATACACACTCATGACATTTTTCTGTTACTTTTTACCTTCTGTCTTAGTTAGGGTTTCTATTGCTGTGAAGAGACACCTTGACCACGGGGCAATTCTTACAAAGGAAAAACATTTCATTGGGCTGGCTTATAGTTTCAGAGGTTTAGTCCATTATCAGCATGGTGGGACATGGCGCCATGCAGTCAGACATGATGCTGGAAGAGCTGAGAGTCTTACATCTTGATCCGCTGGCAACAGGAAGTAATTTGAAACACTGGGCATGGCTTGAGCATATATGAGACCTCAAAGCCTACCCCCATAGTGGCACACTTCCTCTCACAAGGCCATACCTTCTCCAACAAAGCCACGCCTCCTAATAGTGCCACTCCTTATGGGGGCCGTTTTGTTTCTAACCACCATACCTCCTTTTGGATGGTATCTGCCTTCTTGATTTTTCTCAAACACTTCTGAGGCAAGCTGACATCAAGAACTATAATGCCAATTTTCATAATTGATATTTGAATAGCACTTTATAGTTGGCAAAGTGCTTTCATATGCCCTTTCTTGATTTAAGAGATGGTAAAGATGAACTAGTTGTGGGAAGTAGAGGTTAAGTTTTGAAAGTTTACATTTCTAGTGTTGACAAGCCCAGCACTGTGCTTCCTCATAGGAGGTACATGTGAGTGTTTCTGCCTCCAAGCATGTCTGGCCTATAGTAGCTATACCCTAAGAACTAATTTGGAAGGCATCTAGCTCTTCAGAAGACTTTGCACTCTTGTCTGTTATGGTGAGTATTATGCTTGTCTTACACATGTAGATCCTCTAAATATTTGAACTTTCCCCAATACAGCAGAACATGTAGAGATACAGTCTTAAATTTCCCTTGCCTTGAACTCTGCCCATAGCTTTGAATCGTTAGCTTCCCTTTGTAAGATGTTCATGGCTCTGAATCAAGTCTGTAAGATGCTGATCTTTCTCTCCTTGGAGATAAAGGCTTGGGCCTTATCACTTAGGTATCACTAATGGTGGTTGTAGTGTTTCATGTGATTTACATATTCATTTTACTCTCAAAGAAGGGAACTTTGAAAGACACTAGCTTGTCCTTAGTTTTGTGACCACTGCAACCCAGTTTCCTTACTATTAATCCAGTAGATTAAAATAAGTAAAAAGACTAAGGAGTTTTAAGGTCTTACAGGCTGCTGGGTACTCAATGTTAAAGTTGCATACATTGATGGGGTGCTACATTTATGTGGCTGCAGGATGTATGCTCTTAAATACTGGCTGTATATTTGGGAAAGCAAATTCTCCAAAGATTCAATATTGAAGGCTGGAATTAGACTATAAATTAGGCATTTATAAAGTTTTCAGGGTGTATACAAGTATAAACAACAAATAATTTAATAATTGATTGCATTTTCATAATTATAACATAACATGAATCTTCATTTATGTCTTGATATACAGTATCATCACTAATCATATTTGTGCCTGAACATATTACTTACTTTCAAATTTAAATTTAGTGCTGACATGGTTGAATGTCTAGTAAAGCTTCTCTATACACAAGGCTAAACTCTTTGCTACTCTGTGAAGTTCCATCTCTTACAGATACTTTCCATTTTTTTGTCTTAAGGCCATTTTGGACATGACATACTTTGAGGAGAATAAGCTAGTAGATGAAGATTTTCCTGAAGACTCTTCTCCCCAGAAAGTAAAAGAGCTTCTCAGTTTTCTTTCAGAACCAGAAATTTTAGTTAAGGAAAACAATATGCATCCCAAAGTAAGTTCTGTATACTTGTGAATGCTAATAGAATATTGACACATTGTCCTGTTCTTTAGACTATATTTTTGTTGCTTGTGAATGTATCTTTGTTTTAAGATTTAAAAAACAAAACGAGGTTTGCTGGGCGTGGTTTCACAAGCTTTAATCCTATCATTGGGAGGCAAGGGTAAGGGGATCTCTGAGATCAAGGCCAGCCTGGTCTAAATAGTGAGTTCTAGGCCATCCTGGTCTACATAGTGGGTTCCAGGAATGCCAAAACTATTTAGAAAGATCTGTCTCAAAGCAGGTAGGGGATAGGGAAGAGAAGCTTAACACTCCAGGCCATAATCAGAAAAGTGTAGTTTGTGAAGTACTTTCAGGATATTTATATAATGGTATTTAATTGTATTGCATACAGAATCCTTTTCTAACACAGATAGTCCCTTGTCCCTTTTACTTTTGCAGGTGCTGTTTCTTGACAGTCATATAATCTAATTGCTACTTTTGTCTATTGCCTTTTTCTTTTCCTTTTGAGATTTGAAACAGGGTCTCACTGTGTAATGCTGACTGCCCCTGACCTCTGTAGATCAGGCTGGCCTTAGACTCATACAGATTCACCCGCCTCTACCTCCTAAGTACTGGGATGAAAATCATGTCCAACGACAGCCAGTCCCTACTGTCTATTTAAATCCTGATCCTGGTGAACATGTGCCACATTTCTTACTAGCACTGATCACTCATCCCTGTATGTTCTTTTCTCCACCTTAAGGAGCTTCCCTTACTCTTTGCCAGAAACTCTCCTCTTTTTCAATTTAGAGACAGGCATTGCCCGAGGATGTCTTCTTCACGCTTTGATAGTCTCTGTTCTGTCTTTAATGTTCTGTTCACACACTTTGTTACCAGCCTTCGCTAGTTGGCCTCATATATCTAGTCCTGGATATTCTTTTAATTTTTTGTAGTATTTATTTGCGGGTGCAATATGTGCATGCACATTTATATGCCATAGTGCACATGTGGAGGTCAGTGGTCAGCTTGCAGGAGTCAGTTCCCTTCTTCCACCGTATGGGTTCTGGAATTGGATTCAGGTTTTAAGGCTTGATAACAAGCACCATTACCTGCTGAGTCTTCCTGCTGACCCAGTTGGATACTATTTCATGTCAATTAGTTCTTATATGTACATGCCTGCTCACCGTCTATCTGAATGCCTTTTTGGCTCTATGTATTCATTAGGACAGGCTAGCTGGAAAAGCAAATCACCCCAAGATTTAAAGGCCATACCACTACAAACATTTTGATTTATTAAAATTGTTTTTTATATATAGCTTTTCGTTATTCTAGAAATTTAATTCTTATTCTATTCTGCAGTTCCTATTTCTTTCTAGAAAAATAGATAAGATCTTGATTTAATGTGTTTCTAAAAGTGTGTCTTTTTAATGCGACAGTGGAGTTTGCATTTTCCAAATAATAGTAGGGGAATTTGCTACTATGATTTTTCAAGTTATTTTATGAAACTATTTGTAAATTAGTTATTTTGCTGTTTATATACCAACAGATGACAATATTTCTACTTAATTCCAACATAAGCATTCTTCTTTTTCCTAACCTGGAGACATTCTGTGAAATGAGAGGGCTTTGAATTGCTTGCTTTTCTTTAGAAGTTTGATTTTTGTAAATGTGTGACTTTTTGTGGATATGGCTTTTATGTTTCTTTTTAGCTGTGTGATTTGCTTGGGGATGAGCTACTAGAATGCCTGTCTTGGAGACGAGGAGCCCTGTTATATATGTATTGTCATTCTCTAACTAAGAGAAGGGAGTGGCTCTTAAGAAAATCTAACTTGCTTCAGAAGGTAAAAAACAACTTAATTTATGATTTTGATTGTTAGAATTTATAGACTTTAAAACATTTTGTAATAACAGTAGTGAATTCAGAGACTTTGGACTAGTAGACTTACATTTTAGACTAGGCTCTTAGATTTTCTGTGAAGACTAAGACGGCACATGAAAGAATATCATTTGGAAACTACTGCATGTGTTACTCAAGTTCTTAATTTTTATTTTTGTTTGAATATAAGATAAAGCTATTAATTTCTAAATTATTTTCTTTGAAGTTTTATTATGAGTCTATCTTTGTAGGCAAGGTAATCCTGAGATGCTTGTAGAACCCTGCTCCTAAAACAGTATGACTTTGGTTTTATCTCTGCTCTAACAATTATTATTCCAAAGACATGAATCTCTTAGTATTGTGTCACTAAGAATTCCAGCTCAGTCTAAATGTATCCATAGTTTACATAGGCTTGGAAACAGGATGCTATACTTTTAGGTAGAAAAATTTAGTTATAATATATCTAAATCGTAAAAAGGGCTGAAAGTATAGTTTGGAGTTGAGCTCTTGTCTAGCATGCATGATGCCCTTGGTGCAGTTCCCAGTAGTGCAAAACAAACAAAACTCTCTCTCTCTCTCTCTCTCTCTCTCTCTCTCTCTATATATATATATAT